CAGTTTAGACTCATTAACAAATCAATTTTCACAATGAGTAAAGCACAGTTGTTCCTCCTGTAAATCACCCACCTGGTTTTTTTCACAGTGATGTTGCTACTAAGTTTCTCTAGGCGACATTCTCCAGTGTCATGGTTGATAATTAAGATACATTCTTTTAGGTAAGGCTTCTTTGAGCCCTTGAACACAGTCACTGGTGGAGTTGAGCCCTATTAAATCAGAAGGCCAGTAAATGTTACTACTGTAGTCTTTTTTTTCCTTAGGAGCAGCAATCCATCACAGTGGTGATAAGTTCACTATAAGTGATTATTTCTAGCCTTTAAAAATGTTATCAGTTAATTCAACTTAGATTCGCAGCAGACATGACCAAAGGAGCTGGTGACTGACTGGAATGGCACTTCACCCAGCTTAGCTTAATTTGAAAGTGATTAAATGCTTATTTCCCAATGAGAGCATGCTCACTGTAGGACTCCTTTTACCAAGAGGGGTTTCAGTTACCATATCAGCAGAGCAGTAAAGCATGGCAGGTAGTAAATTTTCCCTTTCCAGTCTTTCCTGCTTTAGAACTGCACTAGAGCAGTAAATACCAAGGGGTAGCTTGCGCTGCCAAGATCGACATGAAGCTTTTCTGTGTACGCAACACTTCTGGGTCATCCTACAGCATATTTCCAATGTGGTAAATACACTTAAAGTTACAGCGCAGCTGTTTAACCTTCAGGTCTTTTGTGGTTTTACATTCTTAGAGCAATTGTTTTTCTACCCCAAAAATCACACAAGCAGCTATGAAACAGCACTGAAACGTCATATCCTTCTATATTCAGTATATACTTATGACAAAATAAATCATTCCCTTAGGCCCACCACTCTTCAGCCACCCCACTCACCTCGATATTTGGCAGTGTTATTGTCACCTGTTCACCTTTGCCAACTTCAAGGTCTCCTTCGCAGGACATATCAATAGATGCAGGCTTAAAGTCATCTAAATATAAAACCAAACTGGATTATTTACAGGCTTTTCAGGAATCTTATAAATGTAGACACCTTTTAATTGCAGTTGGAGGCTATTAAGTTAAAGCCTTTTTTGCTAGTGTATCATCTACTACTCCCCCGACCAGATGATTCCATAAGTCAGTAGAATTCAAAGTCAAGATGGTTTTCTCAGGATTCAGTGTAAGTGTTAACACCTTTCAGCTGAAATTAGAAAAATGCTTTTAGGTTTTAATGGTTAAAGAAGCTGAACGAGCTGTGTTCTATTTCAAAAAGATAAATCTTCACATAATGGCTTCCAGAAAAATCAATAAGTAGTTCTTGAAAAAGTCAATCCCAAACATGGGAGATGTAGACAGGTGACTGAAAATGCAAAGAACAACATCAATCCTCAAATCCATTTCTGTATCCATTTCTGATTTCACTATAACACGCATGCCAGAAGCTGACCAAAACTTGGGTTTCAGTGTATTTATTTTTGCCAAAAGTGAAATTACTTCCCAATTAAATATTAATTTCCTTTTTGTCTTTTTTAACATCTAAAGTATTGATTAAAATAAGTTTTAAAAAAAACCCAAGGTATCAATTTCTGGTCCTTTTAAAAAAATCTGAGACATTGAAAATGAGCACGTGTTCAGGTGTCAGCACCGCTGCTACGTAACATACCATTATCTGTAAAGTATATTTTCCACCACAAATGAACTGGGAAAGGCTACAGCTAAAAGGCCTGCCTGCACAGATCTAGAGAGACAGGACGGCATCAAGAGGCTCTGCAGGGCACGTAGTAACAGATGTGGGCTTGAACCCGTGGTTCCAGCAAACTCGGGCGCAGAGCCAGCCTCGCAGCCCGGGGATGTCTGCTGCCCTGCCTCGCACGCTGGGGAGAGGCACCCTGTCGCAGCTGGAGAGAGGCATGGAGGGACCAGGGACCCATCAGACGGCACACTCCCTGGCTGCAACACGGCATGCGCGCCTTGCCTCGCAACCTGTCACGTCACCCGTTGCTGGTCACAGGCAGCAGCACTCTGTTACAGCTGGGGAGCTTCCCAGTTCAACAACACTGCCTGTAAACCACTGGCCAGGCGGCGCAGACCACAGCAGGGAACGCTGGCTCCAGCTTGCACACCAACCGGGCAAGAAAACCAAGCCTCAAGAGCTGGTGGGCAGGACTATGCATACAGCAGAAGGCTTTGAGCTAAGACGCGTGTACCAGCCCCTGCTAACCTTGCTTACGGCAAAACCCCACACGTCATCTTACAGGGATAAGCGTAAAAGAGTTCCAAAGTTTCTCATCAAATGAGAAAATGTTTGCTTTAATATACGGCCACTGGGTGGGTAATACTTTAGAAAAATAAGATACTGATTCCAGTGTCCATAAACAGACTTCTGCTCTCAATCGGCAGATGTCTTCCTCTTTACTCATTTGCTAACAAAAGCTTCAGGTGTCAGAGAAGGATATTTTTGCATGTGCATTTGACAGAACTGATGAATGTGCCAGTTTTTATGTCTCATTTGTTGGAAAGGAAGAGAGATTTCAAAACAGATTTCAGAATAAATCATCAAATTACAGGAGTCAGCAAGAAATTGTAAGGGTAGGAGGTACCAGACGTGGTTTTTAGTTAGCTTTAAAATTAGGGTAAATTTCAAGTTACAGCATTTGTTTAAATCCATTTATAGCTGTCGCCTGCTCCCTCCCCTCTCCTCCCCTCCCACAGTTGCAGACAATCCTACTAAGTGCCATTCCATTTGCTCACAGAAAGCACATTACCCATCTCGCTGCACTGCGTGAAAGCATACGGGACATTCTCCAGAGAACGTACATGAGACTGAATCTTGTGGATCAGTCTATAAATAATGAGACATCAAAACCAGAAGCAACAGTCCTAAATTACCAGAACTATAATCCTGAGAGCATTTGTTTCCTAGCTACCCTCAGAATCTTTGAGCACACAGCTCTCTAGATAGTAATTATGTACTCAGGGAGGGTATACTGGCTTCGTGATTAATATTGCCTTTAACCTTTGATTGCTGAATTGTAGTTAACTTGAAAAACTAAGTGCAAGGGAAGACGGCAAAGCCAGAGCTTCAGCCAAATTCAGTTTTCAGCAGAAAAATCCTATTCCGCATCCTATTCTGGATGCGGAAAATGTAAAAAGTGAAGTTAGTACCCAGAAAGCAGTGAGGGACAGTACCGGGATACAACGGCCGTACACCTCACCAGTAACACGCTCTCTCAGGAGCAAATGGAAACCTGATTTGCACCACATTGCTCCCCGAGATCCCGGACCAGCAGCCCAGCCATGGGGACTCTGTTCCCAGGTGTGCCCCAGGACCCCGGGAGGAAGGTAGGCAACTCATTTCGGCTCCCCGGGCGGTCGTCTCCAGAAGACAGCCCTTCGGTGCCTGCCCAAACGGGGTGCCCCGAGCTCGGCCGCAGCGCAAACAAACCCCGCGGTAGTTTTGTCACGCTGCCCTTCTCCTCCCTCAGCTCCCGGCCGCCTGCCGCGCCATGCCCTCCCCTCACACCCGATGCCCGCCCGGGCCTCAGCACCTGCCCGGCCAGCGCTCCCACCCCTCAAGGGACCGTT